GTGCATAACACTCCGGTTTTAATTTAATGTAATATGTTTTATATTTATTTAGATTTAAAAAACTAAAACTGCTATTTTTTAGTTAAATATATTAAGCAGTGAAAAACCTTTAAATTTCTTTCCTGGTGTTTTAAAATGTATCTCTTTTCTCCAAATGAATAAACTTTCACTACAGCATAACAAATTTTTGAGTGTGTCTGATATTTTTCATGTGAAGGTGATCGATATTAGAAATGAGATATTCAAGAATGCTCTGATAAAAATTAGTTTATTAATAAAAACATGAAAGAAAAAAAGCAGAAGAAAGAGCAAAAATGTGAAAAAGCTGCTACACAATTCATCCTGTTTACATGTTTTATTGCACTGCAGTGTAGCAATTTATTCTCTGAAAGATAGATATTTTTATTTACATAAATTTGCCAAAATATTTTAAGTCGTTTCGTTTGTCCTGATAATCCACGTGGTTTGATTCCCTGCTGTTTCAGGTGTTCATCGATAGGAATAACCACTGGAACAGAAGAAGCTTTATTATAAATAATATATCTCATATATTGTCATTCCGTGCTTAATTTATCTTGATCTGATACAAACATTTAGGTCAATATTAGACAAATCAGTATAAAATTATGAATATTCTTTAAAAAAATTATCTGAAATACTAAAATGTAGAAATAGAAGAACATTTTGTTCTTTTAGTAATAACATTTATTAACCAATAAGACGCTTTAATCACCTCAGACTCCTCGAGCTTCATGGCTTTTCCATTGCACAGTTTTTGAAAGATTTCTGACGACAAAGACAAAGAACAGAAAAATTTCTCTTCATCCCAAAATGAAACATTTGCGTCCCAATGGGGGGCCTTTAATGGTCCTCTGTCGGTGTCTGCACTCACTCYTCATGCAGTCCAGACGGAGGATGAGGCTGATGAAGCTCTCCCGGGTCAAGTGACCAGAGGAGGCTCCGTAACTCATGGTCATCAGGTTCAGGATCTCATCGCTGGTTTTTAGTTCTGAGGAAAAAAAAGTTTATCTCATTTTATTTAAGATGTTAATGTTTCAGAGAACGTCCGTTAAAAATTATATTTAATCATGCATTAATCTAAACTTTTTCACCCTGAAACTTAAAAATACTTATGTCATTTTGTTTGGATGTCATAAATTTGGATGCACTTGGTTCTTTACATAGTTTTTAATTTAAAAAAATGAGTCCATATTTAATTTATTTTCTATATTCAGTATCTTTTTTTCCCAATTCTGGAGAGTTTGGTTATTTTTTCACTTTGAGGTGAAAACATTTGTTTAACCTAACTTGTTCTTTCACATCTTAGATTCAAGATTTTCCAGTTTAGTTTCACTAAAGGCCTCCATTTGTTATTAGATTTAAATTAAAAGCTTTTAAACACACTCACCAGCCACTTTATTAGGTAAAGACATGGTCAAGACAATCTCCTGCAGTTCAAACCGAGCATCAGTATGGGGAAGAAAGGTGATTTGAGTGCCTTTGAACGTGGCATGGTTGTTGGTGCCNATCTGTGCGAAGGTGGATGATGATAACTACCAGACCGTCATTCTGGAGAGACTCAATGAGGTAACTTTGGAAAATGTGGAAATTTTGAACAGAGGGGYCATGATTTCTGACACATTGACACTGGCAGAACCTTAGATAAAAAAACATATAGAGTTCAACAAGATTTCAGTTCTCTCAAATGTTATAATACTAAACATTCTCTGTTCTTCCAGGCATACCCGGCTGGAGTTCCTGATCAGGTATTACGAGACCTTGGTTCAGTGTCTCGTGTTGCATCAGTTGAGGACATCTCTAAATGGAACATCACTACCGTTGACACTCTGGCATCTCTAATGAAAACCGAAGACGGACCCTGGAACACAACGAAGGTATGATTGTAAAAATACAAAAGCCCACATAGTTTTCTGAATTTCCACTTGAGTGTGATTTGGAGGATTTATAATCTGATTCAATTATGTGTTTTCTTTCATGTTCAGAGCAACAAAATCATCATGAAGTATCTGAGTAGCTCTGGAAACTCACTGGGCAGCTCTGAGCTGAACTTTATTGACTCCAACCTGTGTTCACTGGACACCAGCACTTTGATGACCATCACACCAGACAGTATCAGGTGAATATCAGCATTAAAAAAAATAAAAACTGTAGTCTCTGTGAATACTGTTCTGGTTTTTAATGTGACTTTATTTTCTCTTCAACAGGAATGCCAAACTCCTGAATGTGTCATCTTGTTCACTTGAGCAGAAAACAGTCCTGTATAACATCAGTAAAGCCTCCTTCAGTTCACTCAATGCCACTTCACAAGACTTTTATAATTTGATAAAAGGCTACTTAGGTAAAAATGCTTGGATTTTGTATTTCAAGTCATTTAGCAGAGAACTTGTTCCTAATTTGATCTTTTCTCTGTTCTTATAGGTGGAGCACCTCTGACGGACATTGTAGCCTTATCAAAACAGAACATCAGCATGAGTGTCGACATCTTCAAGAGTCTGGATCCTAACGTGATCAATGTAAGTTTATTATAACGAAGGGAAGAAGTGACTTTTATTGTAAACAGAATGGTAAATAGGTGCCTTTAAAACAGTGGACAGACTTATAATATCTTTAGCTTCTCTTTGGTGCTTTTTATTCACACATGGTCATGAGAAGCTGAGACGGCTTACATCAGCTCTTGGTAGAAGCCAGGAAAAATGCAGGTTCAATCATAGTTTAAAAAAAAGGGCGGATAACAGTTGTTTTTGTTTCTTTTAATGTACAGAGTTTGACCGTGATCAACGTCCAAGGCCTGATGGGTGGAAATGTCCCAGATTTGAAGCTGTTTGAGAACAACACTGTGATTCAGYGCTGGGTGAACTCAAAGGACCAGTCGGATCTGGACATGCTGGGTGTGGGCCTCGTCACTACCAGGGTGACAAACCCTGCAACTGCAGGACCSAGCAGCACTGGGGCTGTAGCTCAAGGTAAAAACACAAAACRACTGTGTGTGTTGAAGGAGACATAATGCAAAATCCACTTTTTTAGCCYTCAAATGRACTTTGTGTACTTGGAGTCTCTAGGACTGCAGAAAAGTTTCAGTTAGTTTCTCCTGGTGCTGCAGATATCTTTATATTCTTTTTYCGGCATAWTTTTCAAGTCATTCAGTTTTCTCTATTTTCTAAYATGTTTTCTGAACTATTACATCTAATTATTTGCGACAGAATTTGTGAATAAGGTCTGGTCTTACCACCTACACTTTGGTGCTCGTAAAACTGGATGGACAAGTCTTCCCTTGTTGACATCTTTTAATTAAATTGTAAATTTAAAAGTTTCTGTGCGGGGGGGTCACGTGACCGAGATCCGAGATGGCAGTGCGGTAAATAGCTCCGAGGACGGTGTTCGAAATTTCCTTTTAAAACCCTTGTAAAAGCTGTAAATAAGGCTCAAAAGATTCAACATCGATATGTCTAAAGCTTCATCTGTGAAACAGTGCGAAATCTTTTCAAAAAGACGCAAGACAGCCAACAAAACAACACCGAGTCCCAACGTGCGGTGATGACGCTAATATGGCTAGCGTAGCTGAAGTGCTGGAAGAGCTAAAATCACTCCGGTCGGATTTTGGAGTCAAGCTGGATAGCATAAATGAAAGACTGACTGGGATGGCGAGCGCTATGACTGCACTAGAGACTAACGTGTCAGAGGTAAAACAAGACCCATTAAGCCAGGTGGCTCATATGGAGG